ATCAGCGTATGTGCCTAAAGATGTATAAAATGTCTTGGGTATGTCATGAGTGAAAATCGAGTAAAGGAATGGAGCGATGTCGCTTCCTTGTGGGACTCCAGCTCTAATARTGTAACGGGTTGAGTAGGTGTTGTTTAGGCGAACAGTAAAGAAACGATTTGATAGATATGAATTTATTAAGAGGAAAAGAGGGTCGGGGAGGTAGAATTAGGAATAGAAATACTTCTGAAATTAAATGGTTCATGCAAGACTTGATAGAGAATGATGCTCCTGATTGTATTTTAACATTTTTAAGGACAGGTCATCAGGTCGATKGTTACATAACCCAACAAATTGACCCATTGCCCATATCCCGGTAATAAAAATGTTCTAGTAATTACAAAACTTTATAAATTTATCATTATATTTTTCAGATGAACAAGAATTGCTACTACAYGAAGCAAACAATTCGCAAATCATAATTATAAATTGATATGAAATTTTATTTAACTAACTTTTTTAAAATCTAATTAATGACATTATCATTTTATTTTTCAAGTCATACAATTATTAATTGATATGAATTATTATTTTATTAACTATTTTTAAACTTAATTAATGTGACAAATTTTAAAATTATCCTAACCAAACGTAAACTGTGATTTTTATATATAGGTGTGCACATTTTTTGCAGTCTTGTAAAGTATACTTGAGTAAAAGTATCCGAATACTTAGTTTATAAATGTTGCCTCGACGTTGGTCTTGGACCAAAACTCTTGGTAAGGTTAGCAGACTATATGGTCACAGAATATATGAAATATATTACATAGGCGCAACTAGACCTCTAAATCGTGGGGTGCTATATTATTAAAAACATAAAATTGATGTTATTTCAWTATAATTATAATAGTTAGATCTAAAATTGCAAGGGGTGCTAAAGACCCTTTTGCACCCCCCTAAATGCGCCAATGATTATATATATAAAAATATAATGTAAAATATTTAATATATTCTGTCTCTGTGTTTCTGTGATATGGGCAATGGCTATAGGTGGATTCACACTGCTCCGTTATCCGTGATCCGTGATTTCCGGAAAAACAATATCTGTGATTTCTCAAAACTAAATTTTTCATTTTTGAGGTGAACATAACGATAAGTAGTGGTAACTGGTAATTTGTTTATTGTTATCACAATCACACCATCTTTATCACCTATCTGTTATCANAAAAAAAAAAAAAACACATCATTGTAAAATCAATACATTCATCACTTCGTTCAGAATCTAAAAATGTATGTAATATATAGATATGGTGTGTAATTATTTAATAAAATAATAATAATAATAATATTATTCTATCAATTGTTAATTTGTATTATATTGTTCATATTTTGTTTTGTCGGGACGCGGATGCCAAATGATCAGGTAGGCCGACTGTGGTAATTTTTTTTCTTTGTATAAATGTATATTATGTATGTGCGCTAGTGTAACGCCATAATATGACGAAAGTCTACGGCAATTAGCTATTTAGATAAGGTGATATAATATATAATATATAATCATTCGAAGATTATTATCGTACAGTCGCGGCTCGACGGTAAAATATAGTGTTCCACAGTTCCACACCTATTTTTAAATTTTTGCTTCTTGAAGGCATACTGCCTACATAATTGTAATATATTTGTAAGTTTTAATAGTACCTAATTYTGCTGCATAATATAAAGATAGTAATAATGAAATAACCATATAAATTACTATTATATTGAGTTCTACATAGTATATACATAGTTGGCCGCCCCTGGTTAATTAACCTATATAGGATATTTTTAATTGGGATATTTGTAACGGGGGTATTTTTAACGTGGGACATTTTTAACGGGGGATATTTTGAGGGGAACCCACGCATTTATTCATTTAGATCAACAACAACAAAGTGGAAAAATAATAAATTAATAACAGAGAAGGTTTGCACATTACTTCAAAGATCTTGAAGCCAGTAAAAAAAATTCTTTCCCACATTRTAAAATATATATTAAAAATAAATTATTAAAATGTTGCAGGTTCTTCGTTGTTGRAGGGAACACTGATTTTCGTATTTGCCGCATACTTTCAGGTACTTTCGAAAATGTATAATTTGCAGCTCCTTCAGGATGGCTGTTGTATTAAACAGTTATTTTGTATAGGTACGTGATGGTTATTTTAAAGGTTACTTATCTATGTGTAAGTGTTTATATACGTAAGAAGTAAAAAATTGAATTAAAATTAAACTTACAATTCTTTATTTTTGAATATTTAAGGCCAGATAAGGTTTCCAGAAAACCAACACAACTTGAAATTCAAACAAATCTCCCAAAACTAATGTAAATAATATATAAAGTTAACATATATTTAGGAATAGTTAAAATAATAATTTTTTTTTTCGGATCCGTTCTTGTAATTCTTCAAGAGGTAGATTTTTTTTTTTATTTATATATTTAAGTATATACAATCTATACAACATTATGTACAATGGGCAAATTTGATAATTAATATAAAATGAAATAACAGAATAAAATTTAGCATTTAGGGGCAGGCACTCAGCAGCACCACCCGACCGAGAACATTTTAGATGTCGTGGGTTTTTTATTT